TCCCATTTTGCTGTGGAGAGTCCGGAAGCGTGAAGGTCTGGCGGATGCCTCGTGCACGACAGTAGGCTCGCAAAAGGCCAGAGGAGAACTCTCCGCCTCTGTCAGAGTGCAGACGCAGAACAGAAAAGTCCGAGCCGAAACTCTTCCTGAGCTGGAGACGAGCTGCGCAGATCCAGTCGATCAACACCTCAGTGACATCACCCTTGCCGCGCAAGGGGAAGACTGTGGTGTAACGCGAGTAGTCGTCAACCACCAACAGGAAGTAGCGCTCGTGACCCTGTCCACGGACGCGGGCTGGGCCCCACACGTCCATGTGAAGCGTCTGCAGCGGGGCCTCTGTCGGAGGAAACTGGGAGGAGTGAGGGGCAGCACGCTGCCGCCCCTCGACACAGGGGACGCAGGTAGGGGCAGGCCCCGGAGGAAGGGGAGGGAGGGACCGGGGAAGACCAAAGACAAGGACACGGTAGGCCATGCCTCGGAGACGAAGCAGGGAGGGGTGACCAAGGCGGTGGTGACAGAGGAGAGTCTCGTGAGACAGGAGGCGACACGAGCAGGGGGCAGACTCAGGACCAGACCTGGACGCTGTAGCAAACACCTGACCCGACGCAGCTGCATGACCAGATGCAGTGACTGGAGGAGACTCAGTGGTCAGTGTGTACAGGCTCGACCCCGGCCGACGTGTAAACGTGGCCAAGTGTAGGCCCGTCCGTGCGTCCGTGCAGTGGGTCACTCGCTGGCTCGCAGGAGTGAACTGGTGAACCCCCGCATCCTGTAGGTCAGCACCACTCACCAAGTTCGTAGAGAACGAGGGGAGGTAAAGACCAGACAGGGTGCCAGAGGGGGCCGCCGGACACGGGAGGACAGTGGAGAAGTGAGCAAGGACAGGACCTTCAGAGGTGTCTGCCAGAGTGACTGCAACTGGCCGACCAAGGGGCGTGAGTGTGGTGCGGTCTCGAAAGAAGGAGCGAGAAGCCCCCGAGTCAAGGGTGAAGGTGTGGGAGGCCGAAGCCGACGCGGTACCTGAGAGAGCAGACTCACCAGCACCTGAGGAAGCAGACGCACTGGCACCTAGAGCAGCAGCCTCGCTAGCACCTAGAGCAGCAACCTCACCAGTACCTAGAGCAGCAGTCCCAATGCCCGGGTCGGGCGGAAAACACCGGTAACAGCCCCCCTCATCACTAATAGTTACAGCATACATGGCAGCAAGAATAGCATCAAAGTCAAGGTCAAAGATCGCTACTCCCGCCCTAGACAGCTCGCCCCAGCGAGGGATCTCAGTGGCCTCAGGGAACTGGTGACGCCAAGCGTCCGTCAGGCGGCCAAAGCATCGCTGGGTGGAGTGCGCACCCCCGCACGGCTCACCCGCGCGGTCGCCGGTGCGTAGGACGTAGGTGCACGGACCAGTACCCCCACCCCGCTGGCGTGCAGCGTACCACTCACGGAGCTGCTGAGGGGGGGGGGATCTCACGCGTGCTCTGCTGCTGCTGCTGCTGCTGCTGCTGCTGCTGGCGCGGACCACCACTGGAGCCGACCCTCTGCGCAGCGCCACCCCGACCAGCTCCATCTCCTCCGCCGCCGCCTCCTCCACCGCCGCCACCTCCGCCACCTCCACTCTCACTGCCACCGCCGCCGCCGCCTCCGCCTCCACTGCCGCCACCGACGCCCCCACCCCCGCCACCACCCCCACCGCCACCCCCACCCCCTCCGCCGCCTCCACCGCCGCCTCCACCGCCCCCGCTAGCTCCTCCAACGCCCCTGCCCCCTTTGCCCTTCCCAGTGTGGCGTCTCCCGCTAGGGGCAGACGCCGCACCGACCGACTGAAGACCTACGAGGTCGGCCGCAACAGCAGAGGCAACAGAGGGCAAGAGAGGAGAGGGGGAGCACCCCTCAAAGACAGGGGCACGAGGGTCACCACGAGAGGCTCCTACAGCGACTATGCTCTTCTCTGCTGCTAGGAGGCGCTCCTCGAGGAGGTCAACGGTGAGAGTGGTGGGGCAAACAGAGAGAAAGTGGTCCCTGACCGGGCGAAGGGTGTCAGGGAGCCGGGTGACTATGTAGTAGAGGGTGATGTACATAGGGGGGGGGTTCTTGGCGCAGAACTCAGCGGGAAGGGCAGCGCGGTAACGAATGTCACTAGTGCGAAGGTGTGTAATGAGGTCAGCGACTGTGGGAAAAGCCGCGAGGTCAAGGAAGAGGTACGGCAGGATGAGGCGGCTAAGTGCAGCAGTGGCAGGGGAAGAGTAGCGTGCAACTACAGCGTCGTACAAGGTCCTAGCACTCTTGTACTGACTAAAGTGTGCACGCTCAGCGGTGGGCAAGTGGCGGCGCATAGCAAGACGTGCAGCAGCATCGCGTGTGGCCCACTGTGAGCGAACAGTGGCGTCAGCATCAGCAGCAGGGGCAGGAGAGGCACCAGAAGTGAGGTGAAAGAGGGAGAGACCGTCTGCCCTATCGCACTGTAGGTAAAGCTGCAGGTCATCTACCCAGACGTCAAAGTCAATGGCCCGACCCTCAGCGTCAAAAGCGAGGACACTGGGGGTAGCCATGACAGCAGTAGACTAGAAGCGCGAGCAACAGGCTAAGGGCAGCGCAGTAGTAGAGGTGCTGCTCTTACCGGGCAGGCGAGAAGGACCGAGTGTAGCGGACAGGGCGGCTCGGACGGCTCGGCGGCTCGGCGGCTCGGCAGCAACAGCAGCTCGGCGGCTCGGCGACTCGGCGGCTCGGGCGGCTCGGGCGGCTCAGCGGCTCGGGTGGCTCGGCGGGAACGGCGGCTCTGCAGCTCGGGCGGCTCGGCAGCTCGGGCGGCTCGGCGGCTCGGGCGGCGTGGCTGCTGCAGGTACAGTGGCGGCTGCTGCTGCAGGGACGGCGGTGGTCACCGCTGCAGGAGGCGGCGACGACGAGCCGCTGTAGGAGGCGGCGACGGCGGCCGCTGCTTCAGGGACGGCGGCGGCGGCCGCTGCTGCAGGGACGGCGGTGGCGGCTGCTGCTGCAGGGACGGCGGCGGCCGCTACTGGAGGCGGCGACGGCGGGCCGCGAAGGGGCCGTAGGGGGGGGGCGCGAGAGCGGCGCGAGGGGCCGTAATGGGCCGCGCGAGGGGCCGTAAGGGGGGCCGGGAGGGCAGCGCGAGGGGCCGACAGGCGGCGCAAGGGGCCGCAAGGGCGGCGCACGGGGGGCCGACGGGCGGCGCTAGGGGCCGCAAGGGCGGCGCGCGGAGCCGACGGGCGGCGCGAGGGGCCGCTAGGGCGGCGCGCGGGGTCGACTAGCGGCGCGAGGGGCCAACGGACGGCGCGAGGGGCCGCAAGGGGGGTGCGCGGGGCCGTAAGGGCGGCTCAAGGGGCCGTGAGAGGGGCCGCTAAGGGCGGCGCGACGGTAGGGAGGGCACGCGGGGCGCGACTCGGGCTGGAGCGAAGCGCGCTCCGGGCAGGAAAAAAAAATTCGAGGTGGGCCCTAGGAAGCGTTCCCACTAGGGAACCTGCTCTGAAACCATGAGAAGAAACGAGGAATGAAATGACTAAGGGAAAGTTGGGTACAAGTACAAACCTTAGAAAGTTGTACCCCATATGTGCTACCCCACTATAGCCTACAGCAGCTAAGTCATATAAATCTGACATAAGGCGACGCGAGGAGCCTCGACATCGTTGAAATCGGCCGAACGTGCGAACTCCGAAAATCGGGTTGTACGCGAAGCAGTCAACCCCGATAAGGAATTCGGAAAAATTCCTTACACCGGTACATATATGGTCGAACGAATACGCCCTGGCACACGGAGCGTGTGACCCATCTTTCGGAAACCGCGCCCTCTCTCCGACTGGTCATGCTCACAGATCCATTTCTAAGGCTCTCGAGTCCATTAGTTCGAACCAAGAGTCACGAGAGTGTGATTGGTCAGTTGGTGAGCTTGCCTCAGTGTTGTCCCCGATTCTTAGAACCGAGGAAGCTCCTAATAGGGCTAACAAGAGCCGCGAGTCGTGAGGCGGCTCCGCTGTCCTTTTTAGGACTAGTTGGGATAACTTGCTCACTAATCCTGTGCGACACGTGCCTGTCTGGCACCTTAATCACTCCCAATTGTACGGCTTTTCGCGATTCGCATACGTTACTTAGTCCTGGGTACATGGTAGAATAATTACGTCGGGAACATAGTAGGCATTTCTCCGTACTCGTCCTGCATTGCGACGATCTCTCGCTCTCGTCCAATTTCGGTCCAGATTTTTCGGTCATGGAGACGCCGGCGGTGTCGCGGCATCAGAAGCTCGTAACGGACGTTCTTTCGTGGGTGTTCAATGTCGTTACATCTGTCGGTATCATCGTGGTCAACAAGTACCTGATGACACATTACAATTTCCAGTTCGGTGCGACCTCTAACCATGTTTTATTATCATCTCCTTGGAGGGAACAAGTCGCTTGTAACGCGTAAATGCAGTTGTACGTACCGATCGTTCTAGCTGCGCGTTTCCAGACGTCTCAAAACGTTAGTCTCGACTCGCATGCGTGCGGTTGTATAGTACCGAACTTTCTAGCTTCTCGCTTCGTCACGACTACGCAGTGCTTTTGCTTCGTTATGCTAACTCGATCAAGGAATTTGATACTAATCAAATTCCAGTTTTTGTCTCGTGTCCATCTTCATCTTCGAATTCAACAATCTCTATCACTCCCTTGCATTCCACATCGACACTGCTTATTATGTTTCTGACTTTCCCAAGCTTGTATTGAGACTTCTCAAAACACGTTCGCATTCTTCCCTTGAAGCATGGCCTCAGCTTCCCTCAGTTTTCGATCTCAACTACCGCTATCAAGTCGCCTCCCGCAGATCTGTACACTTGCACCTGTTTCGCCCCCATTTTCTTGCGCATGGTCACCTGCTAATGTAGACTCACTTGTGATCTTTTTAAAATAATCCCAAATTTTCACTCCCCTGTTAAATCTACGTTTTCATTTCCCCTCCATTTCTTTCTTCCGCAGCCGCCACGCTCACCGGCCTCCACTTCATCATGACGTCGCTGATGACGTCAGCGTTGCGTCTGAGCGGGTACCTGGAACCTTCGCAGCTGCCCCTGATGGAGCAGGTCAAGTTCGCGCTGACTGCCAACGTGTCCATTGTGGGAATGAACGTCAGCCTGATGTGGAACAGCGTGGGATTCTATCAGGTGTGTGTGCTTGTATCGAGTTTGCTTTGATTGACCATGATTCTGAAACGGGCTCAGTGCGGTAACTGTTAGTGTGTTTATTTTGGAGATGAACGTCAGGCTGGTGTGGAACAACGTCGGAATCTACCAGGTGTGTGTGCTTTTACTGGACATGCTTTCATCGAGTATGATCCTGATGGGTGGTCAGTGCGATTACTGCCAGCCAACGTAATGATGTGGGGATGAACGTCAGCCTCGTGTGAAACAGCGTTGGATGCTGCCAGATGTCTGCTTGCCCCCATGCAGACCGCCAAGCTGGGCATGATCCCCGTCTCCTGCATCCTCGAGGTCTTCTTCGACCCCATGCGCTACTCCCATCCCAGGGCTCACGCCTCTCCCTGTTCCATGCTTTCCGGTCGTCTCAGTGCCCTCCTTCACTTTTCCCCCATGCAGACTGCCAAGCTGGGTATGACCCCCGTCTCCTGCGTCCTCAAATTATTCTTCGACCCCATGCCCTACTCCCATCCCAGGGCCCCTCTGTTCTCCTCAAGCAATTCAATCTATCTCATTCCTTCCCCATCCCCCCCTTTCCAGTCCGCTCAGATCGTCAAGACGGGCATGATTCCCGTCTCCTGCATCCTCGAGGTCTTTGTTAATTACATGCGCTACTCCCAGAGCCTTGCCCCTCTGTGCTCCTCAAGCGATCCAATCCACCCCATTCATTCATCCGCCTTCCCCTTCCCCTTCCCCCCCTCCTCGCCCGCTCCACCCCTCCCTTCTCGTCCCCACACCCTCTTGTTTCGCTCGTTTCCCCCCCAGATCGCCAAGCTGGGTGTGATTCCTGTATCATGCATCCTCAAGGTCTTCTTTTTTCACGTCCTTTACTCCCAAGGCTCACTGCTTTGCCACGTTTGCTCGATTCTCCCCCTCTTTTTCCCTCAGATCGCCAAGCTGGGCATGATCCCGGTCTCCTGTGTCCTCGAGGTCTTCTTTGATCGCATGCGCTACTCCCAGGGCTCGCGCCTCTCTGTGCTGCTGGTGCTCATAGGCGTGGCCACGTGCACCATCGCTGACAGCAGCCTCAGCGCCAGGGGCATGGTGGCAGCTGCCGTGGCTGTCTGCTCCACGGCCCTGCAGCAATACGTGAGTGGCTCCCGTCTAGTTCAGTCTAGAACGAACAGGCCTTGGTGTCTAGATCAGCTGTTGTGCCTCCTTCCCAGGGCTCGCGCCTCTCTGTGCTGCTGGTGCTCATAGGCGTGGCCACGTGCACCATCGCCGACAGCGGCCTCAGGGTGAAGGGCATGCTGGCAGCGGCCGTTGCTGTCTGCTCGACTGCTCTGCAGCAATACGTGAGTGCACTGGTGTAGTGCAGGTCCTAGGGCAGCTGTTGCGTGAGTCGTCTCAAAAGTCAATGCGTGAGTGCTCTGGTGTGGAAGAAGTACCGCCTGGGCCCACCCACACTGCTTCACCTTCCCTTCAGCATTTCCATTGATCTCCTCCTATATGCCCCTTCCGACCCTGCCCCATCGCTCTTCACCCCTCACACTCCCCTCCACAGTACGTGCAATACCTGCAGAAGAAGTATTGCCTGGGCTCCTTTAACCTGCTTTCCCACACAGCTTCTCACCATCCCTTGCCGTTCCGCATTTCTACTCATCTCCTCCAATATGCCGTTTCCCGCCTTTACCACCCCTCTCCACTCCACTCCCCTCCACCCCTCTCAACTCCTCCACAGTACGTGCAATACCTGCAGAAGAAGTACCGTCTGGGCTCCTTCGACCTGCTCTCCCACACAGCACCCGTGCAAGCCGGCTCGCTCGTGCTGCTGGGCCCTCTAATAGACTGGCTGTTGTCGGGTGCCCGGGTTGACAGCTACGACTTCAGTGTTCCCTCGGTGGTGAGTGCCTTCTGTGGTGTGTGCATGGTCTTATATCGGTTCACAAGCACCCGTGCAAGCCTGCTCGCTCGTGCTGCTGGGCCCTCTTATTGACTGGCTGCTATCGGGTGCTCGGGTTGACAGCTATGACTTCAGCGTTCCTTCGGTGGTGAGTGAATTGTCCTAGATTCTGCATGGTATTGTCTCGTACAGAGACATCTCAGCACCCGTGCAAGCCGGCTCGCTTGTGCTGCTGGGCCCTCTTATTGACTGGCTGCTGTCAGGTGCCCGGGTCGACAGTTATGACTTCAGTGTTCCCTCGGTGGTGAGTGCCTTCTGTGGTGTGTGCATGGTCTTATATCGGTTCACAAGCACCCGTGCAAGCCGGCTCGCTCGTGCTGCTGGGCCCGCTCATTGACTGGCTGCTCTCCAGAGTGCGTGTGGACAGCTACGACTTCAGTGCCACGTGTCCAGAGTTCACTGGCAGTCTGGCAACCAACGCGACTCACTTCATGTTTCTCCGCCTTTCCCTCTTTTCCCTCCTTTTCCGACATGCTAACACTTCACCAGTCTCCTGTTCCTCATAGCAGTGCTTATCAGCGCCATTCAGTTCAATGAGGGCTGGTAGGAGCTCTCAGCTTCCATTCCCAATCACTTCCCCGCCTCCACCTCTGCATTGAGCTGTTGTGCCTCATAGCAATGGCAGTCAATACGACTCTCTACTCATCCTCCTTACTACTCCCATCCCCCATTCCTCCACCCTCCCCCGCCCCCACCAGCTGTGCATCGGCCTCTCATGCCTGATAGCCGTGGCCGTGAATGCGAGTCAGTTCATCTGCATTGGTCGCTTCACAGCGCTCACCTTCCAGGGCCTGGGCCACATGAAAACGCTCTCCGTGCTCGTGCTTGGATACGCTCTCTTTGGGCTGGACGGACTCAATGCACCAGTAAGTGGGTGTACATTGCATGCCATGCTGTAGTTCAGATGGACATGCGTGAGGTGAGGGCTTGGGCCACATAAAGACTCTCTCCGTGCTCGTGCTTGGATATGCACTCTTTGGGTTGGATGGACTCAACGCAGCGGTGAGCGCCTGTATGGTGAGACGATGAGGTTTAGAGGGAAGGGGATTCACAGCCCTCACCTTCCATGGAATTAAAAAAAAACCGAGCCACTTGAAGATTCTCTCCGTGCGATGATCAGTTTGGCATGTCATGCCGTGAGAGCAAGGACGAGGTTTAGCGAGAGTCGCTTGAGGCGCCTTCCAGCACTGCGGCCATGTGAAAACGCTCTCCGTGCTCCTCCTTGGATACGGTCTTCTGGCGTTGTGTGTGCTCAGCTTGCCGTCTCGAAATTGCATGTGTGCCATGCCATGCCAGTCCTGCCATGCCATTCCTGCCATGCCAGTCCTGCCATGCCAGTCCTGCCATGCCAGTCCTGCCATGCCAGTCCTGCCATGCCAGTCCTGCCATGCCAGTCCTGCCATGCCATTCCTGCCATGCCATTCCTGCCATGCCATTCCTGCCATGCCATTCCTGCTATGCCATTCCTGCCATCCCATACCAGTGGCATCAGAGAAATAGAGAATCTCTGTGTTTGTGCCTCCCACTTCTACCCCCCCTCTCCCACATGCTGCCATGCCAACCCAACTTCCACACACCCACGCCTACGCACTACCATTGACCCCTATCCTCACTTAGGTCCTGATGGGGATGCTACTTTCCATCATGGGAATGGTGTGGTACGGCAATGCATCGTCGAGACCAGGAGGCAAAGAGAAGGTGCCAGTGGCTCCTACTCTTCCAACCACCACCGAGGCGGATGAAAGCGCGCCGCTAAAAAGTGAACCGCGGGAAGCTCCTGTGGTGCCAGCACTTGAAAAGCAGGCCAGTGACAGTGGATAAGCGACAACTGGATGATGATATTGTATCTTACTCTCTCACATCAGATGGGGATGGCATGAATAAGGATATAAAATATTTAGATACTTGGGCTAGGCCTTGCTCATATTATTTTGTGCAATGCTGGTAAATAATATATTCCGAACCACATATCTCGAGAAATTGTGCTCACCTGTTCCCCAAACCGTGTATGTGAGCAGAATGAGGACGGCAGTATGTAAGGAAAATCTCTTTTTCCTTACTTCGCGTCCCTGCTCAACGCATACATCACTGTAGCACCACAGTCAGCACCGTTACCACTCGCAATCCTCGCATCGACAATCCGCCCGCCACCTTCGCACGTCGCACCCCGACCTCACGGCTCGGCGGGTAACCCGCGCTCCGGCCTCCGCTTCGACACTTTTCCCAACCTCAGTCCCAGGCCCGTCGCGCGACAACCACAGTCCATTACCGTTACCACTGTAGTTTCGCTATATATTCTTCGCTCATGCCTTCGCTCATTGTACTCTTGCTTCGATAGTGCAATTCTCGTTTGTTCACTCAATTGCACTCGTAACACTTGGTATTCAGAGCCTACGATCTCCTCTCGGACCGCACCCACACCTTCGCTTCCCCACTATCTCAATTTTTTGGGGGGGGTAGACGTCTCTCAGCGACACAGCATCGCCGCTCGTAGTGCTCTCTCGTAAGCACGCACGGCCACGACCGAGGCTCTCGCTGAGCTCGCCCGACACCCCCGCCATGGCCGAATTCACGCTCGCCACATTGACGCAGGAGCAGCTTGACCGTCTGGTGCGCCAACTTGAAGATTCGGCGCTCGAAATTGCGACGCTCACGGAGGAACGTGACTCCGCACGTCAGCAATCCACAGTGAACATTCCAGCGCCATCACACGCACCGACAAATGCATCTGCACAATCGGACGAGCCGATCGTCATTTCTTCCGGCACACCAACGCAACACGACAGCGTGGGACAGCGCTCAGGCGCAGCCAGTGATGGCGCCGCCCAGCCGATGCCTGGCATGGGAGGAAACAGGGTCGCACCAAGCCCGCGGGAGCCTCGTGAAGCCCGTCGGCACGTGGAGTTCGCGGCGACAAGTGGCGAACAGGCCATTATGGCACCCATGCCACTCAAGCCGCAACGCCCGCCCTGCTTCGACCCAAGCCAACGTGGAGGTCCGACGGTTCAATCGTGGGTTTTCACGATGAACGTCTTCTTCGACGCGAATTACGTCGAGTCGGACGCAGCGAAGATTCGGTATGCCGTTTCGCTGTTAAGATTCGATACCTGGCTAGATGACCAACACCTCTTCCTACAACTCACTGCCAAGGAGGACATCTCACTGTACGATCACGCCCTAGGCCGTGCTACTGCTCCTACTGCTACTGCTGACAGCACTGCCCGCTCACAGTGGCAGACTCGTGACGCCCACGCTCGCTTCGCTATTCGCAACTCCCTGCCGATAGATGAGCGCGAGCACTTTGGCCAGCACAAGACTGCACAGGCACTGTACACCGCTGTTGTTGCCCGCTACTCCTCACCTGCCTCTGCCGCGCTAGGCCGTCTCTCACTCCTCTACCTGTTTCCCGACCTGGCCTCGTTCCACACAGTCGCTGACCTCATCACGCACCTCCGTACTAGTGAGGCCCGCTTCCGTGCCGCCATGCCCGATGAGTTTCTTGCCAAGAACCCTCCCCCGTTCTGGCTCACTCTCTACCACCTAGTCACCCGCCTCCCTGACACTCTGCGTGCTGTGAGGGATCACTTCCTTGCTCGCTGCCCCACTGAGCTCACCATTGCCCTCCTCGAGAAGGAACTGCTTGCAGCTGAGGCTAGCATAGTCGCTGTAGGTGCCTCTCGTGGCGACCCCCACACCCCTTTCTTTGAGGGGTGTTCCCCTTCCCCCCTTCTTCCCTCTGTAGCCTCTGCTTCTGCTGTCGACCTCCTTGGTTCTGAGAAGGTCGGGGCTGCGTCTGCCTCGAGCGGGCGCCGCAGCAGCAAGGGCAAAGGGGGCAAGGGAGGCAGAGGTGACGGCGGGGGAGGCGGTGGTGGGGATGGTGGCGGCGGTGGGGGTGGTGGTGGGACTGGTGGGACTAGTGGCAGCGGTGGGGGTGGTGGCGGCAGCGGTGGGGGCGGTGGCAGGGGCGGGGGCGGTGGTGGGGGCGGCGGTGGACGCGGCGGCGGCAGGGGAGGAGGTGGTCGAGGAGGTGGCGGCGGCGGTGGTGGTCGTGGAGGCACTGGCGGTGGCCAGAGCCTGCAGCACTCTCCGTCGCCCCAGGAGCTCCGTGAGTGGTACGCTCAGCACGGGGGGGGGGGGGGGGGGGTGGCCTTAGCTGCACGTACGTCATCCGCACTGGTGACCGCACTGGTCAGACGTGTGGGAGGGCGCACCCCACGCAGCGCTGCTTCTCACGCCTCGACGACGCTTGGCGTACTCAGTTCCCTGACGCCACTGAGCTGCCCCGCTGAGCTGATCTGATGAAGCAAAACATTGATATCTTTGCTCTAGACTTTGATGCTATTCTCTCTGCCATGTATGTGATGTCTATTAGTGGAGAGGGTGCCCAGTACCTGCGTGTTCCGCCCGACCCGGGCATTCGACCCGGTGAGTCTACCGCTCTAGGTGCTAGAGTGTCTACTACCCCAGGTGCTGGTGAGGCTGCTGCTCTAGGTGCTGGTGCGTCTGCGCCCCCTGTTACTGAGTCGACTGAGGCACTGCACACCTTTACACTAGACTCAAGTGCCTCCCGCTGTTTCTTTCGTGACCGCACGACTCTTGAGCAGCTTGCTCGGCCCGTTGCAGTCTCTCTCGCTGACCCCTCTGGGGGTCCAGTCCTTGCAACCTCCTCCACTGTCCTCCCCTGTCCGGCCGTCCCGTCGGGCACACTGTCCGGTCTCTACCTCCCCTCGTTCTCTACGAACTTGGTGGCGGGTAGTGCGCTCCAGGGCAGGGGTGTCCACCAGTTCACCCCTGCCTACGAGCGTGTGACACACTGCACGTGTGCTCGGACGGGCCGTCACCTGGCGACCTTCACACGGCAGCCGGGGTCGGACCTGTACACACTGACTACTGAGTCCCCTCAGGTAGCTGCGTCTGCGTCTGCGTCCGGTCAGCTGTTTGCCCCCTGCTCGTGCCGCTCTCTGGCGCACGAGACAGTCCTCTGGCACCACCGACTTGGTCACCCGTCCGTGCAGCGCCTTTGGGCAATGCACAAACGGTACCTTGTCTCTGGTCTTCCCAGGGTTCTCCCTCCCCTCCCACCCTCTCCTGCTCCTCCCTGCCTTCCCTGTGTCGAGGGGCGGCAGCGCGCTGCTCCTCACCCCTCCTCGTTTCCCTCGACGACTGCTCCCTTGCAGACGATCCACATGGACGTGTGGGGCCCCGCCCGCGTCCGTGGTTAGGGTCAGGAACGGTACTTCCTGATAGTTGTTGACGACTACTCGCGCTACACCACGGTCTTCCCCTTGCGCACCAAGGGTGAGGTCCTTGATGTTTTGATCCCTTGGATCCGCGCTTCTCGTCTTCAGCTCAGCGAGCGTTTCCACTTAGACTTTCCTGTCCTACGCTTGCACTCTGACAGAGGTGGTGAGTTCTCTTCCGACCTCTTGGCAGCCTACTGTGCGGAGCACGGCATCCGCCAGTCGTTCACGCTTCCGGCCTCTCCACAACAGAATGGGGTTGCTGAGAGCCGCATTGGCTTGGTCATGGAGGTCGCTCGTACCTTCTTGATCCATGCGGCTGCCCCCCACTTTCTGTGGCCGTTTGCGGTCCGATACGCTGCGCATCAGCTCAACCTCTGGCCCCGTGTCTCCTTGCCGGAGACCTCCCCGACACTGCGTTGGACGGGAGAGGTTGGCAATGCGTCGCGTTTTCGGGTCTGGGGATCCCGAGCTTTTGTTCGCGATACGTCCGCAGACAAGCTCTCCTCCCGCGCTGTTCCGTGTGTCTTCCTAGGCTTTGTTCCGGACGCGTCTAGTTGGCAGTTTTACCACCCCACCTCGCACCGTGTCCTCGCCTCTCAGAACGTCACCTTTGACGAGTCGGTACCCTTCTACCGCCTCTTCCCCTACCGCACTGCCCCGCTCCCTCCCCTGCCTCTCTTCCTCGCGCCAGGTGCTGCTGTAGTAGACCCCCTCCCCCCTCAGGGTGCCGCTCCCTCAGGTGTGTCCCAGGTAGACCCGGTTGAGCCTGTCGAGGTAGCTGTCGACTCTCGTCCGACTCGGGGTGCTGAGCCTGAGCGTGCGGAGCCTGGGGTTGCAGAGACTGGGGGTGCTGAGCCTGGGGGTGCAGAGTCTGGGGGTACTGAGCCTGGGGGTGCGGAGTCTGGGGGTGCTGAGCCTAGGAGTACAGAGCCTGCTTGTGCTGAGTCTGGGGGTGCTGAGTCTGGGGGTGCTGAGCCTGGGAGTGCTACGCCTGGAGGAGCTCTCTCCTCGGAGCAGTTGCGTGAGTGGTACTTACAGTACTGCAGCCTCAGGAGAGGTGCTTCTGGAGCTAGGGGTGCTGCTGGAGCTGGTGCTCGTGCTTCCTCGCCTAGGCGGGAGCTGCCGTCTCCCCAGCGTCTTCGTGAGTGGTACGCACGACGCTGCAGTCTCAGGTTTGGCGCTCCTAGTGTCGCGGACCCTGCTACTAGTGCTGCGGACCCTGGAGTTGGAGCTGCTGCTAGTGCTGCAGACCCGGGCGTTGGAGCTACTGCTGGTGTTGCGGACCCGGGCGTTGGAGCTACTGCTGGTGCTGCGGACCCTGGAGTTGGGGTTGCTAGTGGTGCTGCGGACCCGGGCGTTGGAGCTGCTGCTGGTGCTGCGGACCCGGGCGTTGGAGCTGCTGCTGGTGCTGCGGACCCTGGAGTTGGGGTTGCTACTGGTGCTGCGGACCCTGGCGTTGGAGCTGCTGCTGGTGCTGCAGACCCGGGCGTTGGAGGTGCTGGGGGTGCTGCTGGAGCTGCTGGAGGTTCTGGTGCTGTCTCTGCTGCTGCAGGGGGCACCTCACGGCCGCGGCCGTAC